AGTGAACCGTGCGTCCTCACTGACCCCGGACGCCGGCCCTCCCCCTCGGCGCCCTGCCTGCGCCCTGTGACCTGAGGCAGCTGTGCCCACTGCTCGGGCCTGGGGAGGGAGCAACCGGTGGGGGTTTTCATCCTCCTGCATAGACACCATTGGCCAGCTGGGGAACCCTGGGGTGCAGGGCAAGGGGGCGGCGGGGGCATGTGGGCACCTGCTGGGGGCGGGCTGGTTCCGGTTTTCACCCAGTGCACTGGGCTTCCCGGCAACCTTGGAGGCAGTCACTGTAGTCACCTTTATTCTAGCTGGAGCGATGGAGGCCCAGAGACAAGAGAGGGCAGGGCACTTGCCCCAGGTCACACAGCAAACAGGACTGGAACCCAAGTTTGTGCTTTTTTCCTTTCCCTCCACCCTGTTCCTCCTTAGACCGTCAACGTCACTATGGCATTTGCTGAAAACCGTCTGTGCCCCCGGCGTTTAGTCAGGCCCAGATTCGTCCAAAACATGGTTCTGCAGATAACAGATTTGCCAAGCGCTATGCTGGGTCCGGGGATAGAGCAGAACGAGACAGACACCTCAGGGGCTGACTGTCCAGTGCGGGGGCGGAGGCTAAACGAGCAAAGGAAGGGACCAGCGCGACTGTCCAGACGTGACAAGAGCGACAAGGTGGAGGGGACGGCAGAGGGGATCCGGGCTGCGGGGTGCCCTGGGGAGGGGGCTGTGGGCTGGAAAGTGCATCGCGGCAGCGGGATCACGAACCCAAAGGCCCCGAGCGGCGGGCGTCCGGGTGTCTGAGATGGGGGGCCCACTGGCGGGGGCATGGAGGAGGGGCCTCTGTTTTCTCATCTGAAACTGGGCTGAGCTGCTCCCTTTGTTGCACCAAGACCCCAGGCCTTTAAGGGGGTGGGAACTTCTGTTCCCGCCGACGGCACGGTCGTGGGACCCCGTCCTATTCTGGGGGTCCCTTCTTTCCCCTCCCTCTCCTCCTAACCTAAGAAGGGTCAGGCACAGGGAGGAGCCTGGCCTGGAGGAGCTAGGTTCTGTGATCTTGGGTGAGGCGCTGCCCCTCTGGGAGCCTCAGTTTCTCTGTCTGTAAGGTGGGCCCAGCCCTGCTCCCTCACTCCCAGGGCTGGCGTCCAGGGTTCTGAGGATGGGCCTGGCACTCAGCAGGTGCTGGGTTTAAAGGCCCCACCTTCTTCCTTCGGGGTGGGAAGGGCATGGCTTTGCCCACCGGGAGCTCAGACCTGCGGAGTGGCTGGACCTGGGAGCTCAGGCCCTGTCCCTGCTCTTGCTGGAAGGTTCTTAGCCCAGTGCAGGCCCAGAGAGCCAGCCTGCCGGGGCGAGCGGACAGTCTCAGTGGCCGTGCCAGTGGTCACCTCCTCAAAAGCCCCAGTGCCTCTGAGATCCTGGGCGGGGGCTCCAGGCCAGTCACCACTCCTCCGGGCAGGGGCCTGAATGAACCCAGCTTCCCAGCATTCAAGCTGCCCCATCACCCAGATGAGGAAACTGAGGTTCAGAGAGGGCAAGGGACTTGTGCAAGGTCACACAGCTGAGAAGGTGGGCAGCTTGGAATTGAGGCCAGCTCTGGCCGACTCTGGAACTTTGTCTACTCAGTCACGATGCCGCTCACCACCCGCTGCATTCATTTCCCTGTCACAACGACCCGTGAGGTTGATACTGAGAGTGTGCCCGTTGCACAGATGAGGAAACCAGGGCTCAGAGGGCAGCGCTTGTCTGAAGACTCAGAGACAGGGCCTTTGTAATTTATTCCACAAACTTATTGGGCACCTACTGTATGCCAGGCCAAAATAGGTGAGGAGGTGTCAAAACAGACAAGCTCTGCTCTTGCGGCCTCGAGGCCCCGTGGGAGCAACAGATGCTGAACCATCAAGAAGTGATGTGGGGCCGGCCCCGTGGCCGAGTGGTTAAGTTCGTGTGCTCCGCTTCAGCGGCCCAGGGTTATGCCAGTTCGAATGCTGGGCGCGGACATGGCACCGCTCATCAGGCCACGCTGAGGCGGCATCCCACATGCCACAACTAGAAGGACTCACAACCAAAAATACACAACTGTGTACTGGGGGGCACTTTGGGGAGAAAAAGGAAAAATAAAATCTTAAAAAAAAAAAAGAAGTGATGTGCCCCAAGCTTGGCAGACAGTCCTGGGTTTGAACCCTGGGTTGTCAGTTGCTTGCTGTGTGACCATGGGCGAATTACTTAACTTTTCTGTGCCTGTTTCCTCATATTTAAAATGGGAGATAATAAGAACACCTACCTCATGGGTTTGTTCACAGTTCTTAGCACATGGAAAATGCTCCCTAAGGGTATTGTTTTCTATTCTTCCATTTTACAAAAATTTATGGAGTGCCTACTGTGCACCAGGCTCCGATCTGGGAGTTGGGGACACACAGTAATGGAGATGACATGGTCACTCCCCTTGTGGGGGTCTAGTTTGAGTCCAGGTGTCCTGACTTCCAGGCCAGCAGCCGCAGAGCTGCTTCCAGACCTCCCCCTCCTCCAAGAAGCCCTCCAGAATGACCCTGGGCTGAGGGGACCGGCTTCGCTCTGGGGCTCTAGGTTGACGCTGACACTGGCCCTTCCACCCACTGGGGCCCAGAGCCACTCGTCTGGCGCTGGCGCCCGACTGGGGACGGAGGGGGCTGAGGCGCTGGCAGGATGTTTTCTCCATTAAGGGCCCGGCAGACGCCAGGAGACGGCCGGGTGGAGGCGGGCGGGAGGAATGGCTTCTGCAGGCCGGCCAGCTCCACCCGTCCCGGCCGGCTCTCCCCGCTGGGCAGAACCAGCTCTCCACCCTCTGTGTCCTCTGCCCAGCCTGGGCTGGGGAAACTGAACACAGAGAGGCCCGGGACTTCTCTGGGGCGCACAGCAAGCTCCCAGCCTCTGCTGCAGCCAATAGGCAGAGAACAGAAGCTGCGGGCCCTCAGACCCACCCAGACCCGCAGGGGGACAGAGGAGTTATGTTGGCCCCTCAGGGTTGGAACAACTGGACTTCCTTGCCCACGGATTTCCATTAAAATCTGGACTTTCCGTTCTTCCAGGGCAGTGGGCCCGCTTTCCCGCACGACGACAGAGCCCACGCCCCACAGTCCCCACCAATCCCTACTGCCCCACCGTTTGCTCATTTCAGTATCTGACTAGCGTCTGTCAGCACTGGCGTCGTCTGACCCTCACTTAAAGCAGGGGAAAGAAGGACAAATGGTGGCATTTAAGGCAGGGCTCGGGGGAAGAAGGGTCTGAGCTCCCAAAAGCAGCCCCTGGAGGCCTGGCCAGGCGGGAACGTGCCCTCTGGCCTTCCCAGGGCCCCGCGTGTGAGTGTGTGTATAGCCCTGGGCGTCCCGCAAGCGGACCTGTGAGGCCAGCATGCACACTTGGCAGACGTGCGTGTGTTTGTGGGCACTGAGGACTCCCGGGGGCCTCGAATCTTGGACCTGCCGTTTCCTGGCTGTGTGGTCGTGGACCAGGGCCTCACCTCCTCTGGGCCCAGTTTTCTCATCTGTGAAATGGGCCTAGGCTGGTGCCAGACGGGTAAGAGTCACTGACTATCCGAGGTAAAGCCAAGTCTCGGCATGTGTTCGCCCCTCCCGTCCTCAGGGATGAGGGGACGGGCACAGAGAGGGGCGGCACACGGCCCAGGGCCCCCAGCATGCGGATTCAGAGCCAGGCCTCCTGGCTCCTGGGCTCGTGCTGACTCCACACACACACACACACACACACTCTCACAGAATGTTGCTCTCGGTATAATTACCGCTCTTCCCATTTGACGGCTGATAGTGAGTGTGTGGCACACGTCGTCCTCAGGGCTCCCCAAGGCCCCGTGTGCCTGTGCGGGTGGTGGACTCGGCCCTGCACACGCGCATGTGTGTCTGTATGCAGTGGGGCACATGTGCTCAGGGGGTGTTCTGGAGCCTGCGGAGGACAATCGCGTGTCCGTACGTGTACACACATATCTAGCTGTGCACTCGCGTGTCTATGCATCTGTCCCTGCACACGCATCTGTGTCCCTACACACACGTGTCTGCCTGTGCCCACACGTCCCTTGAGCAGACAGCTGTCCTTCCACACACGTGTGTGTCATCTGTGCACACACGCGAGCACGCTGTCTCCTCCTGTGCTCTGGCGTGAGGTAGGTGCATGCAGTTGACCCCACTGTGCGTGTGCACGAACCAGGTCCACCTGGGGCCCAAGGAGGCCAAAGCTCCCTGCGGCACCCTGTTGCTCAAATACCCCCCACTCCTGGGACCGTCCACAGTCCCCCCACTCTGACGCCCGGAGCCTGCGAGGCCGAGGAAAGGCTGGCGGGCTGAGCCCCCACCCCGTTCTGCGCTGACGCCGCCTCTGCTGCGCTGGGGCCGCACGATGTGGAGCGGGCTTGCGGCCGGGCCTGCACCCCCGCCCTGGGGTCACTCACGCCCCCCAGACCCGGCTGCTGTGATGGGGGTGTTGGTGCTGGTCTGGGTGTGTCTGCAGGGAGGGGCCTGTCCACACCCGGCACCCACGGGAGCCCAGACGCTTGTCACAGACCAAGCGACAATCACAGGAACAGACTCCCACACCACACTCATATGCACACAACCTGCAGACACACAACACTCAACACGTGCGTGCAAACACCTGACAATAAAGCAGACACAGGACACACCTGGACCTGCACGCATACACGCACACGGAATCCCAGACACAACACACACACATGCCACGCACCCACGGGCGCCTACACATACAGGAGCACAAACAGCCCCAAGTCAGACACACGCGCAGATGCACAGATGGACACACAGGGACACACAACGTCACACACAGACACACACTCACGCATCCCCTCCGTTCAGCCAGCCCATGCTCCCACCAGCACCGTGGGGTCTCTGTCCCCCATTTCTCCCCCAGGAGTCCTGATGCCCCACAAGGCCCTCCTGGGTCGGGGCCCAGCCCGCCGTCTGCTCACGCACCTCCTTGCTTGCCCTCCGCCCCTCCAGCAGGCGACACTACAATTTATCAGTTAAACTTTTTTTCCACACCTAACAGTAGGATACACTGGACCATAAGACCCTATTTCCACACCTGACAACCAGCCCAGGTGGGACACGCTGAGAGGGCAGGGCCAGAGCCAGCCACGCAGGACAAAGCCAGCTCTGCGCATCCTGCCCTCTGCTTCCCCGTGCCTCGGTTTCCCCATCTGTGAAATGGGGACCGTAGCAGCTGTTCTGAGGACGAACAAGTTAATCCCACTAACGGCTCAGCAAAGGGCGGCCCTCAGCATTAGTGCTGGCCTGCAGCCGTGTCCTCCCCGAGAGCAGCCAGGGTTCCTGGCTTGGTCACCCGGGCCGCGGGCTCGCTGACTGGGACCCTCTGTCCGGCTTTCGCTGTTGGACATCTGCGCTCCCCGTGGGCAGAGACCGTGTCTGTCTCGCTCCTCACTGCTCCAGCTCAGTAAGTGCTTGGGAATGAATGAATACACGAATGAAGGAACGAGGGAATGAATGAACCCTCCCAGGCTCCCTTGCATCTGGCCCAGGTCCGGAAGGCAGTGGAAGACCATTTGGCCAGATCAGGCCCTAAACAGTGAAGATTCGGACTAGAATATCCATCTCAGGTGGTCGGGTTTGATGCTAAATCTGATGGAAAGGTAAAAAATATTCTCGGAAATCCTTAAATGGTTCAAAATGCAGACTTGTCCTCCCACCCCATCTTTCCTACTGTCCTCTCACTTATCTGCTCCAGCCACACTGGCCTCCTGGCTATTCCTTGAACACACCAGGCATATTCCTGCCTCAGGACCTTTGCACTGCTGTTCCCTTTGCCTGAAATGCTCTTCCAGACGCTCAGATAACTGCATGGCTCCCTCCCTCACCTCCTTCAGGTCTCTGCTCAATGTCACCTTCTCAGTGAAGCCATTCCTGACCCCACTCCCTCCCCGTTCAGCTCCCTCCGTGATCTGCCCTGCAGCTCAGCTCTCCATGCTCTCTCGCCACTGCAGAGTTTTGTTTGTTGCTACTCTCCCTGTGAACTCCCAGGGCCGGGACCTTGCTTTATTCAAAGGTGCAGCTCCAGCACCTAGAACACTGCCTGGCACATAGTAGGTACTTAATAAATATCTGTTAAATGAATAAATAAATAGGGCTGGCCTGGTGGCATAGCAGTTAAGTTCGTGCACTCCACTTTGGTGGCCCAGGGTTCACAGGTTCAGATCCCAGGCACAGACCTAGCACCACCCATCAAGCCATGCTGTGGCAGCATCCCACATAAAACAGAGGAAGATTGGCACAGGTGTTAGCTCAGGGCCAATCTTCCTCATCAAAAAAAAAAAAAGAGAGAAGAATAAATAAACACAAATAGAAAGGAATGGAAGGCCCTAGAAGAGATGGGAACACACACAAGGACAGAATCAGGAAGATGGAATGGACAGGATGCACTATGACAGCCCAGTGCAACCCAGCAAAGCCAGGCTGACCCTCAAGGCCCCAACGGAACTGTGGGAGCAGCGAGAACTCCCTCCTAAAACTCGGACCCCGTCCCAGCAGCGCCTTCGGGACATCTGGCCGGGGCCTTCCCAGGCCGCCTCCCTCCGCCAGCTGGTCGGAGGGCTCTTCCGCCTGCTGGGCCCCTGTTCCTGTGCAGCCGCCGGGTCAGGGGTGGTTTCTGGTCTGGGCACCGGGGCCTGGCTCCTGTCTGGGGTGATTCCTGCTGAGTCACTGGCCACGGCTCTGGACAGGATCCCAGGGGCCCGATGCTGCTGGGGTGGGAGACCACGGCCAGAGGGATGAGACACTCGGTCTGCGTGGGGGTGGGGGCCGGGCTGCCCACAGGCTGCTGCTCCCCCCACTGGTGGCTGCTGCTTCACGTTCCCCCTCAGCCCCAGCCGGCCCGCCCCGGCCACGTGGCTCTGAAAAGGCCCGGCTGCCCCCCACCCCCCAGCCCCTCCCGGACTGACCACGGCCCCGGCTCACCTGCTGGTTCGAACGGGCAGGAGGGAAGACTAGGGTCCCCCCAGGCAGCCGGCGTGGGGGAGGCTCAGTGGCGCGAAGCTGCCCCCTGCCCGGCACAGATTTGGGCCTGACCTTGGAAGCACCAGCGCACTTGTCGGGGGGCGGGGGGGCGTGTCCTGGTCCAGGGCTCGGCCTCCAGTCAGGCAGGGGGAGGCGGGGATGCTGCCGTCTGCCGGGAGGGTCAGGAGGTCCTGGTTCCAATGTGAATGCTATCCTGGCGCCCGCCTCTCCCCAGCCCTCGCCCCGATCCATCGCGACACGGTCCGTTCTCCCCCTGAAGTCTACCTGGAAGCGGACTACGTCTCACCACCTCTGTTGTCCCTCTGCTCAGGACCCGTCAGGTGCTCCCACCTCACTCAGGACAAAAGCCAAATTCTCACCATGGTCTGCTTGGTCTGCCACCCCGCTCCCTCGCTGACCTCATCCCACTTCACACACTCTGCTCCAGCCACACTGGCCTCCTTGCTGCTCCTTCATTATGCCAGCCATATTCCTGCCTCAGGGCCTTTGCACCTGCTCTTCCCTCTGCCTGAACCTCTTTCCCCAGATGCTCACATGGCCCCCTCCCCTACTCCCTTCAAATCTTTCCCTGGCGTCACTTCCTGAGAGGCACCTTCCCCCCTGCAACATGCAGACTCCTCCCCACCGGCATCCTGATTCCCCCACCCGGGCTTGACTCTCCCCCGACCCTCCTCAGCACATTGTACTGTATAGTCACTGGTGCCTGTCTGTCTGTCTGTCTCCCTTGGGAGAATGGCAGCTCCAAGAGGGCAGGGAGGTGCTCTGCTCTGTTCACTGTTCTATCCCACATGCCCAGAGTCAGGCCTGGCCCACAGGAGGCAGTCAGCATATTCTGGGCAGATAAAGGAATGAGTGGACAAGCTCGAGGGATTGGGGGGTGGGTGGGAAGAGCACACTTTAAAGCTCAGGTGGTCAGGGAGAGCCTCTCCGAGGAGGCAACATGCAAGCTGAAGCCTGAGACTGAGAAAGAGCCAGTCCCTTCAAGTGTTTGAGGCAGAGGAAATAGCCCGTGCAAAGGCCCTGAGGCTGGAATCTGATCAACACACTCAAGAAACAAAAGAAGTCAGGAAGCTGAGTGTAGTGTGTGCGTATGTGGGGGCGGGAGGGAAGGGACCGAGAAATTTGGTGGCTTGAGTTTGCTGCCTGTAACCCCCAGGATTCCCTTCATACCTGACCTGCTCCTGGCAGACGGTTTTCTGTCTGTCCCTCTGGGATCTCAGCTCTCTGCCCACTCCCCCAGCCCAGCCTCCCTCCCCTCCCCCGCCTCCACCCACCTCTCGCCTTTCCCGCCTGGCGCTGGCACAACGGGAAACTGTGACTCAGGAGTCTGGCTGCCGAGGGCCTCCCTCCCCCCACGTCCGTCCGGGCGGCCAGCCGGGAGCCAGCTTTGGCCGACTGTGGGCCCTCCTACCTGCCGTCCAACTCAGGCCTGGCCAGGGTGTCCTCCCCTCCCTGGGCAGGGCCAACCCTCCACGTGGATTCTTACTGGCAGCAGCCGCGGGAAAAAGAGCAGCGGCCCCACAGCGTAACCCTCCCAACCGCCTGCAGGGGTTGTCCCCACTTTCCAGGGCAGGAAACTGAGGTTCAGAGAGGCTGTTACACTTGCCCAGGTCATGCAGCAGAACTGGCACCCTGGGGATGCAGTGCTGGCAGTGGGGGTGCCCTGTGGGCGAGTCTAGAGCAGCAGGCTGGGTGGAGCTGAGCCTTCGCCAGTGTAGACAGACCACACACTTCCCCAGGCACCTCCCAGGTGGGGGACCCTGGATCCGGCCTTGGATCCTGGAGCTGGGGTCTCCCTTCTCTCACTAACTCCCCAACCCACAGGCCCTCACGGAGGAACAACATGACCAAGAGTCTGGGAAGGAAAATACCCAGCAAATGGGACACAGGGCGCTTCCTGGGGTGCCCCCCTCCCCATTTCCTTCGTGAGCAACCTCCTGCCCATCAGCCAGTGACCTCAGCCGGACACAGTCACTTAATTTTGCAGGACACGAAAGGACATTTTCCCGGCGTTCCCTGAGGGAGGCTCCTGGTGGTTCAGAGTACGGGCTCCGTCCAGATCCTGGCCATCTGGGTGCAAACCCCAGCTCAGCCACCGCGTAGCTGTTCAATCCTGGGCAAGTGTCTTCACCTCTCTGGGCCTCAGTTTCCCTCTCTGTGCAGTGGGGCTCGTAAGCCCTTCCGGGGATGTCTTGCCTGTTGAATGAGTCAGTTCGCACAGCAAGCACTCAGGAATGTTCCAGCGGCTTTCCACGTGGGAAGCCCGAGTCTGTGCCGAGCTGAGCAGCGGGGCTTGGGGGCCACCATGCCAGAGCCCGCGCTGAGCGCTCGAGGCTCCTCCGTGGCCCGTTCCCCTGCTAGAAGTTACGTGACCAGGGAGGTTTCGTTCTCCGCAGGCCGCCCACAGCCGCAGCTGTCATTTCTGGCTCCGAATGCAGTGTGGTTCTGGGGAACCCGTGGACCCAGCCCGCTTTCTCTCTGAGGAGGCGGTGTCCAGGCACTTCTGGAAAACTGCACTGTCTCCCACCCGAGATGTTCAGTGCCAGCGTGGACACGGGACTCCGAGGTAGACGCCGCCTCCACACCGGGGCTGCCCAGCCCTCCCAGCCCTGGGGTCTGGAGAGGAGATCTGGGGAGGAGACCCCCCAGCTTAACCTGAACCAAGAGCGTGGGACCTCAGGGCTGGAGAAATGTCTCCCCCTTGTTGGGAAAGTCATGGTAACAGCATTCATAAGATAGCGGCGGGGCGGGCCTCCCATCTCACCCTATAACCACCGTTTGAGGGGGTGTCTCTCCTTAGCACCATGTAATGGGGAACGGGGGCCCAGAGAGGTGAACCAGCTCGCCCAAAGTCACACAGCCAGGAAGGAGCAAGGGCGACTGGAGCCTGACAGAGCAGCGCCGGCCTTCACCTCTTTCCTCAGCTCCTGCTGCACCTGGACCAAAAACAGCCCTGGCCTCCTCTCCCGTTTCAGCTTGGGTTCAAGGCGGTTTGGAACCCAATGGACCCGACACCATTGCTTCTGACCAGTGTGACCTTGGCTCACAGATTCCACTCCCTGAGCCTCAGTTTCCTCATCTGCAGAAAGGGGGCGATGCAGATCCCTCATTTGCCAGGTGTGAGAAGTCCCCCAGGTCAGGGACACGGGGAAGCGCTTGGAAGGCAGGTCCTTGTCACCACACGAGCCGGCACGTCCCCCAGGTGAAGGTCCAGAACTGAAAACAGACGTTCCAACGACAACCCGAGCTCAAACGTCCACAGCAACACCGCTCACGACAGCCAAAAAGCAGACACCGACGCCCATCAGGGCTGCAGGGACCGACATGTGGCACATCCGTACGACATCCGTAAAAGGAAGGAGGTTATGCCACACGTGGCCGCGTGGCCATCCGAGCGAAGGCAGCCGGAGGCCGCGTCTGACTCCGCTCCTGGGAAGGGCGCGGACAGGAGGCCGTGGGCTCCAGAGGCCAGAGGGGGCGGACGGCAGGACGGTTCAATGGCACAGAGCTTCCTCCTGGAGTGACGGGAACGGCCTGGACCTCGGTGGTGGTGAAGGTCGCACGGCACGGCGAATGCACCGAACGCCGCCGGACGGCCCCCTCCGAGACGGTGAATTTACGTGTGATTTACCACGATAAAAGCAGCCGTGCGCAGGGGCCCGGTGGCCCGCGAGGACCCGGAGAGCCAGCGTCACTGTGACCGTCGCGCGTGGAGCAGGGGGTGAGGCGGAGCCCAGAGCCGCCTGCGAGGCTGAAATGGAGTCAGAACTCCAGGCCACGGTCCGCGGACCCATTTCCCCGCCTCCCACCCACGGCGTCCAGGCTCGGGGCCTCGTGACCACTCTTTCCATGCCATGTGGCAGCCAATAGGTAACTCTAGGTAACTGTGCCCGCTGACATTGTGATTGTGGAGAAAGAAAGACAAGACATCCCCACACACCCAACAAAGAGGGGCTGTGACGCACGCAGTGATGACTGTTATGTGAAAAATAGCACAGAGGCCGAGTGAGGGTCATCATGGAAGGCTCCTTGGAGGAAGCGACTCAGGGAGCAGAAGTCTGAACAAAACAAGGGAGGAGCCAAGAGGATTGCTAACTGTGACCTGCACAGCCTCGTGGGATCCCCCCTCACCCCCGTGGCCCCTCAGGCTCCCCCTTGGTCGCTGCTTTCTAGCAATACCTTCTCTCACAAGCACCCAGGCTGCTTTTGCTCATGTCCCCGGGGCCTTTGCCCTTGCTGTTCACTTTGCCAGGAGCACTTTCCCCTTATCTACCCAGACCAGCTGCTTCTCACCATTTGGGCCTCTTCTCAAATGTCACCTCCTCAGGGATGCCCTCCTGGACTGCCCTGTCTCAAAGGGCCCACCCGCAGTCACGCTCTGTCACCTCCCCCGGCTTTATTTCCATCCTGGTGCCTTTCCCATTCAAAATGATCTTCTTTGTGTGTCTAGCACTGTCTCCCCTGGGAAACCATTAGCTCCACGAGGGCAAGGCTTCTGCCTGCCTCGTTTTCTGGCCTCACCCCCATGCCCCACGCCTAGAGCAGCGCCCGCACCGAGGAGGAGCTCGAGAAATGTCTGTGGGAGCAAAGCACAACGCAATGAAGGAGCGAACGTGCAGTGAGTGAATGAATGGAGGCCTCTCTGTAGACAGGAGGGGCTCAGCCCAGAGAGAGGCCAAGACTTCGCCAGGGCGCACAGGTGGGGAGACGGGTGACTCCAGGGCACTCCTGGTGCAGGCCTCACCCGGGCGCAGGAAGCCCCTGCTTGGTGACAAGGGTGGTGACCTCAGCCCCATCTGGCTCGCTCCCTCTGCACGCCCCCTCAGCCCACATGTTTTGGGGGTTCTGCCCACCCAGCTCTCCAGCCCCGTCCTGGCTGTGACAGCCTCCAGCCCCGGTGACCCACAGGGACTTCCCCCAGCAGGTGAGGACTAGGCCGGGGAAAGTGCCAGGCCGCAGCCAAGCTGGCTCCGTGCTCCCGAAACTGCCATCCAGGAAGTGAGCAGGGGCTGAGGGAGCGACCGCGTCAGTGGGGCTCCGCCAAGGGCCACACCTGGCCCTCGAGGCCCGGCCCCCGTCAGGACAGCAGCCTGAGTGACCCTGGGCAGGTGGATGCACTTCTCTGGGCCTCGGCTGCCTCCTGGGTAAACGTGGGTGAGAATTCTCGCTCACAGGGCTGCGTGAGGAAGAAACGGGGCAGTGGGAGCAAAACGCCTCCCTGGGGCCTGCCAGAGGGTCCCACAGACACACTTACATGGATACGTAGTACACGGGACCTACTTACACTCAAAATTCGTATGTTGTTTATCTGAAATTCAAATTTCACTGAGTAGCCTGAGTTTTTGTTGTTGACCGTGTTTTTGTTTTTGCTAAATCTGGCAATCTTAGCCTGGCATCAAATGCGTCCAGTAATGTTTGTTGAATGAATGCTGGAGCTAACACATAACAGCTGAAGGAATGAACCAATGAACACGTGACGTCTACTTCTTCCCTTGCTACAGGCCTTATTACTATGGTTGTCATTGTTTTCTCACTTGTGGTTCAGAAGTTCCTGCCTCTGAGAACCTTCCTGCTCTGCCTCAGGCTCAGGCCACCGGGGGAAGCTGGGACTTGCAGGGGGAAGTGACTCAGCCAAGGCCCTCCGGCCTGTTGCCTCCGAGGCCGCCCGTCCACACCCCCGGGCAGCTCCCGCCCCCCGTACGGTAATGCAACCACCTCAGCTTCACAGGACGACCCCTCTGAATCTCAGAGCAGCCTCATCAGGCGGGGACGGCTGCCCTCCCACGGTGCCAAAGGGGAAACTGAGGCTGAGAGAGGTGAGGTGACCCGTCCAAGCCGATAGTGGCACCTCCTGGACGCCACCCCTCATGCTGGGCCCGAGCCTGGGGCCCAAGAGCCACAGCTGGCAGAGCTCTGGGTTCAGCTCTGAGCGGTGCGCCCACGGTCCACGCCCGCCGCCGCCGCTGGACAGGGGCCCGGCAAGGAGTTACTCAGCCCGGCTTAGCCTCCCGGAGAACTCCCTCCCCGGGCAGGCTTCCCGCAAGTCCCGGGCTCCACAGCCGGGAACCGCCTCCCCTGAGGCCCGTTCACTCCTGGCAGTGCCAGCAGATGTGGAAGCCCAGGCTCAGCTCTGAGCTGGCAGACAGTGGGCGGTGGGCGG